TGTGGGTTGAGTGGTCTCCATGACTCTAGGTTCTTATGTTGATTATTGATATGCTTCATAAGTAGTTGGCATGTTAACACCATGGGTAGTGTAAAGCATGAAATAAGTACGATAAACTGTGGTAATGTATCAATGTTATTTCACCTCTAATTGACTCTCGATTTTGCAGATGCCATGGAAATTGAGGTATACTGTTGTATATAGTATTTGATTTATTATGTTATTGAAATTGAAAATTTTGCAGGTGCACGTGAACTAAGATACGTTACTATATGAATGAGCATGTTAACTAACATGTGTTGGTTGAAGTGAACATGATTATGATTTCGTATTGTGAAAGGAATATGATTTTATTTTGAAAATGATGACTTATAAATTGTATGTCATGTCGAGGTTAGAGTCACGGAATAGGACCTAACACACCCAAGTTTTGTGGATTTGAGTATGAGGGGTCAGGTCACCTCTATTGATAGGGTGACTGGTGATCCCAGAGAATCGAATGACGTTTTTGTTGTCATTGAGAAGTTCGAGATCTGACGGTGACCTCTTTATTTGGGGGTGCACTTCTCGAAATGGAAACCGTGCAAGTTGAGAACGAACTCATGGAAAAGATTAAAGAGCAAGCACAAAGAGAGTGCCTAGATTACGTGAAGAACCAAGATGGCGTGTCTTGGAATGAGGATGGATTATTGACCTTCCAGAAGAGGATTGTAGTTCCTCGAGGTCCTTTGACTGTTGAGGTGATGACAGAGGCTCATAAGGTCCACTTTACTGTCCACCCTGGTGCTACAAAGATGTACCAAAACTTGAAAAGGAACTATTGGTGGCTGGGCATGAAGAAGGACATAGCTGTTTTTGTGTCTAAGTGCTTAGTTTGCCAGAAGGTGAAGATAGAACACCAGAATTCGTCTGGTAAGCTTCAACCTCTTGAGATTCCAGAATGGAAATGGGACAACATTTCCATGGACTTCGTGGTGGGATTGCCGAAGACTCAGGCTGGTTGTGACTCTATATGGGTCATTGTGGACAGATTGACGAAGTCCAGCCACTTTCTTCCGGTGAAGGTGAGCTTCACTACTGAGCAGTTGGCCAGACTATATGTTCGCGAAATTGTGAGGCTTCACGGGGTGCTCGAGAGTATCATCAGTGATAGGGACCCGAAGTTCACATCTCAGCCTATCACCCTCAGACTGATGGACAGACTGAGCGGACCATCCAGACCTTGGAGGACATGTTGAAGGCTTTCACTTTGGAGCAGGGCTCAGCATGGGATAGGTACCTGCCATTGGTGGAGTTTTTGTATAACAACAGTTTTCATGTTATCCTGGACATGGCACCCTACGAGGCGTTGTATGGTAGGAGGTGTCGGACTCCTACCTGCTGGTCTGAGGTTGGAGATAAGGAGTTGTTTTGCTTGGACTTTATCCAAGATACTACCCTGCAGATCCAGTTGATCAGGGAAAAGCTGAAGCAGTCGCAGAATCGCCAGAAAAGTTACCACGATGTCAAGCATCGTCCACTAGAGTTCAGTGAGGGTGAGCACGTGTTTGTGAGACTTTCACCCGTCACCGGTGTTGGACGGGCACTCGGAGTGAGGAAGCTGAGCCCAATATTCATAGGGCCCTACCAGATCCTTGGTAGAGTAGGACCTGTTGCCTACCAGCTCGCCTTGCCTTTGAACTTGACCAACATCCGCGACGTGTTTCACGTGTCTCAGCTTCGGAAATACGTAGCAGATCCTTCGCACGTGGTGTAATCGGATGATGTGGAGGTTCAGGAGAACTTGAAAACTCCCGACGGACCACTTAAGATTCTCGGTCGTGGCGAGAAGCAGCTGAGGAGCAATATCATTTCGATGTTCAAGGTGCAGTGGACTGGAAGAACTCCTGAGGAGTGTACTTGGGAGCGAGAGGACGAGCTTCTCCGGCAGTATCCCGACTTCCGAGACAGGTATGTTTAAGATTTTGAGGACAAAATCCTTAAAAAGGTGGGGTGAATGTAAGAACCTGCACCGTTAATTAAGGAAATTAATTAATTAAATATGAGAATCAGGAAATAATTCCATAATTGACCCTAATAATTATGAGAAGGCTTAAATAATTATAGAAAGTAATTAATAATGCTGAAAGTCGTTTTTCTGACGAAAAGTGCAGATACCGATTCTGCTACTCGATATAAATGTGTACAGATGAAGTATCCCCGAAAATTATGAAAAGTGTGTATATATCACTAGAATATTATGTAGGACTAATGATGCTCACCGGTGATGTGCCTCTGGCAAGTGTGGTTTTTCCATGTTGAAATTGATAAGAATTGGGTCATAAGAGAGCAATTTAAATGCATATTTGCTATTTATATTGATTCTTTCTATATCAATAATATTTACCTTTTGGTTGTGTTTTTACAGGAAAAAGAGGAATGAAAATTACAAATTACAGAAAGCCTGTTGACGCGACTCCACACATAGGAAATTTCACCGGGTGCAGCGCAGGCCGAATACCAGAGAATTGGCGCTAGTTGGCGCCAGATTGGCGCAAACTAGCGCCACACATATTGAGCACCTTCATTATGGCGCCACTAGGCGCCCAAAAGTAAGTAAATGGCGCCAAGTGGCGCCCAAAGACAAGTAAATGGCGCCAATTGGCGCCCAGCAATACAAAGGGTGGCGCCAGTTGGCGCCGGTCCACGCAATCAGGTCCGACTTTTGGTATTCGAGGCAGCAACTCCGCGCGAAGTAGCGCCACACCGGCGCCAGATGGCGCCGGGTTGCGGGAAATTGTACCGTGATGCTATGAGGGTATTTTTTGAAGAAGGAAAAGAGTCCTATAAATAGGATCCTTTTTACAGAATTAGGGATTCCGACCTATTTCGTCAGAAGGAGACCGACGGCAGAGCTCAAGAGGATTCTTCTACAGTTCTTCTTCTTCTCTTTTCTCTGTAATTTTATGGTTTTGAATATTGGATTAGTTTTAGCCATGATTATGCTTGGCTAGTTTTCCTTCATTGTGGGTAAGGTCACAAACCCTATGTGAACCTTTTGTTTAGTTATGGATTGGTTTACTTTTCGCTCTTTAATTTAATTGATTTATGCCTACTCTGTGTATCAGAGCAGGGCCTCTCTTCCAGTATGGTGTGGTTCGAGGACGAACCAGGCGGAAGCTGGTGGGCATGTAACATCCCAAGAGCTGGCAAGGGCAGGGAGTGATCGCCGGTGCGAAAGGGCACGGACAATGAGCGGCTCATGCCAAATCTTGCAGCTTGGGGGTTCATGAATGAATCGAATCAACACTCGAAAGAGAGGGATTCCAGAGACTGTGCTGGTATGGGACGGTACAGTTAGGAATAGCTTATAAGAATTAATTGGTACTACCTAAACTAACAAGATACATCCACTTTTCGGTAGCCCGGATCGGAAGAACTCCATAGTTAAGCGTGCTTGACTTGGAGCAATTCTGGGATGGGTGACCTCCTGGGAAGTTTTCCCGGGAAGTGTGCGAGTGAGGACAAAACACACTGAAAAGTCTCGTGTTAGTGTGTGGGGACAATCATTGATTCTTGCAAGTGGCCGGGCGTTACTGAGTACATCCCGCATAATTAGGAACTTATATTAATTATAATCAAGAATGTGAAGCATACCTGAAATTCGAATTAAATTTATGTTTAGAGTATAATTAATTTAAATTAGGGAAATTATTTTTATGGCAACTATAAGTGGGTGTGTATATATAGTTCCTCCACCACCGCGAACCCCAGTTAGATTCAGGAAAATTTCTATTACCTTCCGTACAAGTAAGATTGTGATGTATACATTATCTGGTGAACTTGTGAAGTACGATTTATTAGTAATACTCTAAATTAATTGATGGCTTGGGTAGCTGCCTGAGTGTATGGGATATAATGTCTTGCATGAATGCATGTGTGTTTAGCATTCGTCTTGAGTAGTTAGTGGGAATGGTAGGATGAAGTTTGGGGACAAACTTCAAATTTGGTGGGGAGAGTGTAACATCCCGCATAATTAGGAACTTATATTAATTATAAGTAAGAATGTGAAATATACTTGCATTTCGAATTAATTTTATGACTTATAATGGAATTAATTTAATTGGGAAAATTATTCTATTGGAAATTATAAGTGAATAATTATGTATTTTAAAAGATTCAAAACACTAGTTAAAAAGGGATAGAATTACAATTAATTATAATAAAGGTAGGAATTTTAATTGATACCTAGTGGAAATATGAATTAATAATTAATATGAATGTATTTTATGTGATAAGTGAACTTTATTTATCTCTCACAAAAATAAAAATCTGTATGCATGTAATTTTATTGGCCATAAAATGGCCACATGGCAAACCCCATCTACCCTATCTCCCAACCACCCATGGCACCCAATAGGAAAAGAGAAATTATTTTTGCATGTAATCTGATTGGTTATTAGAAACCCTCAATCATCTTGTCCATATTGTTCTTTCCCCTTGTGCGCTGATATGTGTGAGGTGTATTGCTTTTGAAATTTTGTTAGTAAGCTAAATTAAGGAACTCCATTGTTGGCTTAAACCAAACCCCTATTGTCGTGAGTTCCCTTGTGCGCTGAATGGAGGAGACTAAAACTTGAGTTGCTAAACTTTGATTCAAACATTACCCTATGTCTTCCTTTCTTTTTTTTTTTTTTTTTTTTTTTAACCAATGCTGATTTCCCTTCTTACATCATCCCTCTCTCAAATTGTGACCTTCCAAAGGAAACAGCAACACGTTAAGTATATACATCCTTTTATTTATGGCCAGCCGTGTAACCTTGAGCAAGGAGGTTGAAGCTCAACATCCTTTTTCCCCTCTTGTGCGCACAACTCCAATTTGAGCAGGAGAAGGTAAGGTAACTCTTGCTGTTTTCTGGTTTCCCCCTCCTTGGACCGATTGTTGAGTGAGTTTTCTTTTTTGAACATGACTTTGTCTTGATGGGGTCGCATCACCATTGCATGCGACTGTGAGTTCGAATCCTTGAAGAATGAGATAAGAAGGCTGTTGTCCTTGCTTTAAGCGCTAATCTTGGGGGTATTCATGGAGGTAAATCTGAGTCTAGAGTTCCCTTTTGTTTCCTTACTTGTTCGACCTGCCATGTACTAAGGGGGATGTAATTTTTGTCATTCTTTCATGCTACTCTAAACAGTTGCCACATGAACTTTAAGAGAACCCTGTTTTTGCTATCCTATTCCCTGTTTCTGCCTTGGACTGCCGTAGAACTGAATGACCTCAAGTAAGAGTAAACTATAAAAATTAAACCATTAACTACTCACTAATGGTTCGGCCTATACATGTATAATAGGAGGATGAGTGATGCTGGCCACTTTCGTTTTCTGAAATTTGTTAACTGGTACAGCCTAGGAGTTGATACATGTTTAAACTATTATTTTAGGATTGGAAGAGAATTAGTTGTCATGCCTTAGGACTGCCCTTTTGGGCAGAATAATGATGTAACTTTGTATGCTGTAACTTTGAGTAGACAGCTTGGGTAAGGGTCACATTTAGCGCACCTCATGTCTAACTAGGAGGATACTTTATATTGATGATTTTCATTGCATAAATTCTGTCCTTGGAACCGCCCTTTTTGGTGTTGATATTTGATAATCCAAAACTGAAATTTTGAGAACATAGCCATTTAAATGGGTTGGACTGTTCCGTAATTAGAAAATTTAGCAATTTTGGCATGTGTTAGAGAGTCTGAAGGCTGTATGCTATTTTTATTTACCATGACTAAGAGATGACAATAGGGTATGTTGGAGAAGGAAATAAAATTATTAAGTGATAGTGGTAAGACTAAATTGGTGCATTTAGGAATAATGGGATTTTTGCCAAATAGATGTTTATTAAGAGATTAATTATGTACTAATCAGTTTGCGTTGATGTAAAATTGTAAGAAACCGGATAAGTATGGTGATGTGTCTACCTTGCCGTGTCTCGAAATATTTCATACTGTTTTTAAACCCTTTTAATTCTGGTATTTTGTTTATAAAACTATTATGCTGTCAAATTCGGATTTTGGGCTGAAATTTTAGGCATTTTGCGAGTTCTGTTTCCGGGGCTACGGAACTCCGATTGAGCTATATTTTATATGTATGCGTAGCCCCAGATGTGCACTTCCTTCGTAACAAAGAAATTTTTTGTAAACTGTTAAGACCGATTGTATATAAGTTTTGTAAGTCAGGCAGGTTTAAGAAGAAAGTTTCATTTTCGCAGCAATGATTGTATGCAGAATTTTAGTTGTTTAACCTATGGATTCTGACTTAAGTTTTACACATAAAGTATTTAATGAAAACCTTTGTTGTACCTATGTGGGAACCGATTCAATTATTTTACACGAATATTTCACACAAATTATTTTAAATTAATGGCAGAAAATTCGCTTAGTATGTGGACCTGGAAACCGATCATAAATCAAGGATTAGGAGGGTGGGACAACCGTGTAATATGTAGAAAATAAACGTGATAAATTCTGATTTGATGTATGTATTTGTTTAGGTGCACAAGTTCTTAGATAATGGGACTGTTCGATGATGTTTGGAATGCTTGATTTAAAAGTAAAGTGCCAAGGTATGTGTAGGCGGTATTACCTAATGTGACTATTGGCTAGTGTATGGAATTGTGATGTGTTGCTCACATTTGTTCTATGTATATTATGATGATGATGAGCCAATGGTAAGAATATGAAAGGATGATATGATATATGCATGCATTTTACATCATAATACATTTTTCTGTTGGGTGCGATTGCATAACATGGCATGTATACTTGATTCATGACATCTTGAATATATATATATATATTTGTATTGAGGACATGTGACTGAGCATGCATCATATAGGCATGCCTGGTACCAGGAGAGGGGACACTTGGCTTCAGTCCGCATAGGTTCCACAGTGGGATTCACCTTCATGGGAGCCATTAGGAATACCCACTGTGATGCTACGCGCACGACGGTGCTATGAGCGTAAAGGAAAAAGAGCGTTATATATGCGTTATGATATATGATGAAAAGGATTAAATGTTTGAAGTGACTATTTATGATTTTGTGCCTAGTTAATATTGTTGCATTATGGTTTTGTTGCCACACTACTGGGATTTTCTCTCACCCCTTTGGGGCTGCTATTTTTACAAAATGGCAGGAGGACGTAAAAGCTTTTGAGGACTTGGATATTTGTTGTTGGCTTCTACTGTTTGGGCATGCTGCTATTGATGTGATATTTTATGGATGATTGTATGAAATTGAGAAGCTTTTATTACTGTGAACTATGATTTTATTATTGCATTACAATTTTATGACCAGCAAGTATTTTGGAAACAGATGTTGAAACGTTTGCGAAAAGGATTTTGACATGTTATCTAAATGCTGAGTTTTGAAAAGTCGTTGCGAGCACTTTGTAAGTCGTCGGGGCTACGGACCTCCGATTTTCTTATAATTTATATGGACGCGTAGCCCCAGGTGTCTAGTTTCATTATATATAAGCCTTGCAAAGAAATTCTGAAAGATCGATTTATTATGAATTTTACCAGCCAGGACATTTGTGATATTTCCACTACTTTCTCTCTTATTTTGCGAGTTATGTTTTGAGAGGTAAACAAACTTCAAATTACTATTATTCTATATGAACGCGAAGCCCCGGATGTCTAGTTTCTATATTACAAAGAATATATTTTTGAATCGTTGAAGTGAATTCTATACGAAATTTTAAAGACAGCAAGGTCTGCCATGAAAGTTATATTTTCAGTAGTTGAGAAATTTTGAAAGTATACTCGGAGTTTTGTGACGAACCCGATTTCAAAAATAAAATTATTTTAATTGGCATTGTAAAAGTGATTTTCAGTCTCTAAAATATGATTAAAGAACTCTAATCCGCTTAGCAAACAACTCTCTTGGATGCATACAAGGGAGGGTGTTACACTGTGCGTATTGCTTATCGTTTATATTAAATCTGATCAGTTTAGTAGCGAATGATAATCTGAGGGTTAGAACCCTAGATAGGAACATTGGGGTTTTGGTCCAGAAAGGGGGTAGGATAATAATTAACATGCGTGCTAGGAATAGACGCATTCTTGATTACAAACGTTTAATTTATCTGTGTAATGCTTGATCTCAATTGAAACATTGCAAGGAATTGGGGTTTTAATTGTGATTAAAGGGCTAAATTTGCAAGGAATTGGGGTTTAGCTAATAATTGTTTGGATGATAAATTGTTTGATTGTTTATTTTAATTGAGCAATGTGAATCAATCCGTAGTGAAAAGAGGGGATCATAGGGCGAGTGTACTTACCTGCAATATCTCTCATATTTTTATCCAAATCATTTTGCATCATTCTCTTATTTTTAAAATCCAAAAATACGTCTTTGTCTTTAATTTCTATTGTTCTTCAAATCACTTGGGTTTTATATCTTGAAAGGACGTTTATAAGATATTCGCTCACAATCCCTGTGGAGACGATAACTTACTTATCACTTTATTACTTGAACGATCGGTACACTTGCCGGATTGTATCAAGTTTTTGGCGCCGTTGCCGGGGATTGTGATTTCTTATATCTTATAATCTTGAATTTCAAGATTTTTCTTTCTTTTTGTGATTATTTTATTTTATTTTCTTCTGTTCTTGTTTTAAATTGTTTTGAACATTGCTACTAATCTTCTCTTGAAATTTTATGTGAGGCAAAGTTGATACTACAGAATTGTTATTTGATCCTGAAATTACAAGGTTTGAAAGGCGAAACAGGAGACTTGCTCAGAAGAAATCAAAAGTGCCAAGTGCTCAATCTGAAGAAGCACCTGAAATCCCAACCATGGCGGCGAATAATGAAGCTGAAAATCCACTTATGGATACCATCCTCACTCCAGCCTTCAACAGGCCTAATTCAAGTATTGTCCAACCGAATATTGCTGACAATAATTGGGAGTTGAAGTCTTCCATAATTCAGTTGGTGGAGAGAGTTCAATTTGGAGGAGATGAGCATGAGGATCCTCACAGGTTCATAGACCGGTTCTTAATGATATGTGACTCAACCAAGCACCCTCGGGTGTCTGATGATGCTATCCAGTTGAGATTATTCCTTTTTGCTGTAAAGGGAGAAGCACTTAGCTGGCTGGAGAGGCAGCCTGCACGGAGCATTGCTACATGGGAGGATTTGTCTACAAAGTTATTTGCAGAGTTCTTTTCCATGGAGATATACAATCAAATGGTGAATGATATCACCAACTTCACTCAAACTGAGGGTGAAACATTGTGTGCAGCCTGGAACAGGTTCAAGGACTTGATGAGGAGGTGCCCTTATTATAATTTGACTGCTGGTAATCAAGTCAGAATATTTTTCAATGGCATCACACCTGAAGATAGAATGGTTTTGAATGGTGCAGCTGGTGGTACTATTAAGACCATGAGGGCGAATGAAACTCTGGAGCTGATAGAGAGGATGGCCAGGAATGAAAACCAAGGGGTATCTTCAAAGTCTAAGAAAGGTAGCCTTCATCTAGAAGGTAATGAGTCAGTTCTGGCTGAAAATAAATTGCTAGCTCAACAAATGGCTAGTTTGACTTCCAGGCTTGACAAGATGCAGATCGCGGGAGTTCAAGCTCAGTCTGTTGCTTTTGTCTGTGACTACTGTACGAACAGTCATGCTCCTAATGAATGTCCATCTCTTGCTTCTTCTGATTCACCTCAACAAATGCAGGTGAATGGTATATGGTATGACCAGCGCCCTCAGCAGCCAAATCTTCAGAGAAATCAGAATTTTTCTGGTGGTGGTAACAATTTTCAGCGGAGAGCTCAGGGAGTTGGCATGGATTTCAAATCTAATACTTATAATCAACCTTCACAGAGTCAACAACGAGAGCCTGCTGAGTGGGAAAAAGCTTTTGCACAAATGGCCAAGACTTGTAATGAGATGGCTCAGACCACTAATACCTTTATGGAGGAGACTAGAGCCAACTACAAAAATACAAATGCTTCCATAAAGAACCTGGAGAATCAGATAGGCCAATTGGCAAAGCAAGTTTCAGAACGAATTCCAGGTACTTTTCCTAGTAACACAGTTACAAATCCCAAGGAGGATTGTATGTTTATCACAACTAGAAGTGGAAAAGTGGTAGCAGCTCCAGAAAAGCCGAGAATAAATATGGAAGCTGAAAAGAAGCTAAAGGAGGTTAAGGAGCCAGAAAAAGAAATTAAAAAACCTGCTGAAGTGGAGAAGCCAGTTGAAAAGAAGAAGTTTGAGCTGAGTCCTGAATATGTGAGAGCCATGGCACCTTATCCTGACAGATTCAAGAAGGAGGATCAGAAGCAACAATATGGAAGGTTTCTTGATATATTCAAGAAATTGCATATCAATATCCCTTTTGCTGAAGCCTTGGCTAGCATGCCAAATTATGCCAAGTTCATGAAGGATTTGTTGTCAAGAAAGCACAAGTTGCAAGAATGCCAAACGGTGACACTCACTGAGGAGTGTAGTGCTATTATTACAAAGAAGTTCCCACCTAAGCGTCATGATCCAGGGAGCTTCAATATTTCTGTTGAGATTGGTAACACAAAAATTGGCAGAGCATTATGTGATCTAGGGGCTAGCATTAATTTGATGCCCCTTTCTATTTGTAATTCCTTGGGGATCACCGAGTTGAAGCCTACTTTAGCATCTCTTCAACTTGCTGATAAGTCTTTGAGGAAGCCTAGTGGTATTATTGAAGATGTTCTTGTGAAGGTGGACAAGTTCATCTTTCCTGCTGATTTTGTAGTGTTGGATATGGAAGGGGGAGCTGAAATGCCTCTTTTGTTGGGTAGACCTTTCTTGGCCACTGCTCGGGCACTAATTGATGTTGAAAAGGGGAAGCTTGAGCTAAGAATGAATGATGAGACCGTTACCATCAATGTCTTTGATTCTCGAAAATAGTCTTCTCACAAAGATGATTGTTTTAGCCTTGAAGTAAAAGAAAAACAAAGTGCAGCGAATGATGCCAAGGAAGATGGTGCCATAAAGGTGGAATTGGAGGAGCGTCCTCAACCTCAGAAAAATGTCTTCTTGGCTAATAAGGAGGCGGTGATTGAAGCATTGAAGGAAGAGGAAACTGAATTGAAAAATAAAGATCCCTCTTCCCATACCAACAAAATCCCCAATGAGGATGATGACAAACATGGGAGGAAATCCAAAAGGAGGCGTCATCCTATAATGAAGAAGGTATTAAGAAAGGAGGTAGTGAAACTCTTTGATACAAGTTGGAAGAGACATCAAGAGCTGAAGTTTGACAAGAGACACTGAGACTCTATCTCTCGGAAAAATCAAAATTTCAAAGAGTTCTTAACATGGCTCCATGGTTTGGAGCAAATCTGGGAATGATGGTCTCATACACCAAGGCAACCAGTACCACCAGACCTTCCATTTGCTGAGTCATCCCACGCTGCTGAGGGGGATGACATGGAGGGTTGAGTTTATCTCCTTGCTGATGGAGATCTTGTATATTAGTTTATTTTTCTGTTTCGTATTTTTTCTTTTTAGTTACTTTGTGTTAGTATATCTTTCTCTGATGTTTTAATGTGCGCATTATAGTTTCTTCTATATGCCACCGTTTGTTCTATTGTGCAGGTTTTTCTTCTTTCTTGTGGTTTAATTATTGCTGAGGACAGCAATTCTCTAAATCTGGGAATGGTAGGCTTGCACCTTAGAACTGCTGCAATGCTTCTATCAGGGGAGATACTCTAACTCTTTTAATTTTCTTAGTTATTTTTATAGTATTTTGTGTGCTATATTTAGAAGAAAAAAAAAATTTGAACATGTTTTCTGAGCAAGTCCCAGGTTTAGATATGCTTTCCCTAGTTAATTTGCCTAATTCATCCTAGGAATCATGTTTGGTATGTACTTCTGGCATAATATTGTATTGGCATGAGTAGATTTCATGATTGCTCGTTTGTCTGAATTTTGTGCTTGAATGATTAATGATGCCTGATGTTCTTTTAGAGGTCTAGCTTAACATCATAGCTGGTAAGGTTTTGTGCTTAAACACTTATTTTATTCTGAGAGACCTCACTGTGATAGCATTCTAGAACTTGCTCTGTTTCTCTGTTATGCATGTATTGATTGATATGATAAAGGCATTTTGTTCTTGTTAGCTATTGGCCAAAAATAACTCACCTGAATGAATTTTTCCATTGTTAGCCC